CGGTCCCCGCACTCTGCGATGCTGAGGCAGATGCACAAAGGTTTCAGGCCCAGCCTGGCAACTGGGTGATTTTTAAAATCATTCCTCAAAATTTAAAAACAATTTTTTGACGGATTAGGGATGTAGTTCAGTGCAAAGGCCCTTGGTTCAGTCAGTAGCACTGCCAGTAGAATATCCAGAAGTAAAATTGGAAAAATGGCTTTTGTCCCCTTACACATGTCCTGGTCTCTGCTTGAGAGTAATACTATGCCTTGTACTTTTAGAACTTTTTCTAAATTAAACTGGAAGATTCACAGTGTAAATGTGGGAAGGGTTAAAAATCAAGTCCACTGTTTAGGAAATATTTTACTTTTAAATACCTGCGGAAATAATTTGGCTAGTTTACTGGGCAAGAAGGAAAATAAAAATAGAAGTGGTTCTTTTAAGTTGTGATAATACAGAAGATTGACTAATCCTTTGTTTGAAAACTGTAGGTTTTCCCTTTTCAGCTTTAGTCTGGCAGCTCTTCAGATAAAATCACAAAAGAGCAAAGACAGCCCTCCCAGCCTCAGAAAGGCCGCAGGGACAAGCAGAGCTCATGGCCAAGGCTGTGCAGGCAGCAGGGACAACTCCCTGGGCACCAGAAACCACAGCAGACAAATAAGAGGCCAATGTGGGCCCCAGAAGGAGTGACAAGTGGGCGCACATTGGAAGCAACAGTAGTGGTATAGTGGCAAGACAAACAGTAGACACCAGTTCCCTATTTCAAAAGGATTTAAGATCTGCTGAAGCCAGTAGAGCCGGGAGAACCTTGTGGGCTGGAACGGCTGTTGCCAGTGGGGGACAAGGAAATCTTTGGCTACACACACACACACACGCACGCACGCACGCTGTGGCCATTATTGCTTCTCTTTCATCTTGAACACTGTGATCCCTTCTCTCATTTCTTTTTCCTTCCTCTTTAGCCCTCCTCTGTGAGATGACGTGTAGATTCTCTTTGTTCTTCAGTTCCTAGCTTATTTTGGGTATGACTGTGTCTTGGCTGAACTATTGCAGTTTTTCTCATTTGGGCAGAGTAACAGCTGAAAAACGGAAGAGACATTTGGATCTGAACTGCCTCAGATGTCAGATTACACACCCTCAGCTAATGAGAAGCAGTATTAAGGCCACCAGGCTCCCTCCTCCTGGGAAATGGGGATGTGGAAAGGGGCTCAGAGCGTCCCTTAGTTGGGAGGAAGCCGTCTCCCTCCGTGGAGGAGCCTTGGTTGGAGGTGGAGCAAGAAGGCTTTTCGTATATTGGATCACTAGTTCTGTTCTTGTTCGATGGTGTCAGGTAGTATTGACACTTGTGTCTTTTGTTCTGTTTGAACTGAGGACTGCCAAGGTGCTGCCTCTGACAGCTGCTGGAGCAGGCGTGTCTGTGGCATCGTGTGCTCGGCGGTCCTTGCTACTTTATCTCATTGCTCTTATGTCTCCCTGTATTTCGCTGTCTGCTAAGAGGTACAACCTGACTGCCCAGGAAGGGTTGGCCTGCACTGACCTGCAGGGCGTCCGCCTGTTCACCGTGGCTTTAGGGTTGAGGGTGTAGCCTCATAACCTGACGAACACTGGGATAGGCAGAATACCAGAAGAAACGTATCAGTCCTTTCTGGTTAACCTCTCCATCATAGAAAGTAGTTAGGCCTAGAAGTCTGTTCTGGCAGGCAGATCATTCCAGCATTAGTAGCTGCTCCAGTCACAAAGCTGGAGGCATCATTTAGCACCATAGACCCTTGGGCAGAGTTAGACTGAGAACTTGGATTGGAGACTACACCATTCTAATTGTGCTTTGATTCATCATCATTACTGAAAACAACTGAGCTTCAGTTAACTAGTGGGCTTCACACAGCAGAGAACTAGTGCAGCCTGAGTCCTCTGGGCCTCTTGTTTCCATGGTCAGAGCTGCAGGCAGAACAGTGTCTTTCTTCAGACCCAGCCTCCCCGTCTGAGCTCTGCTTGTGGTGAGTGTGGTTTCCCTGTGGCTGCTTGAGCCTCCTCATCTATAGGCCCTTTCTCTAGACCATACTCTGGTGTGTTCCTGGCAGCGTTCCCTGCTCCCTGCCCAGTGCGTAGGTGCCTACTGTTCGGCAGCAGCTCACTGCTCTGGCATCCGGGTGTGTAAATATTTGTCAAAGGACGGGGGCATTTTCCCATTCCTCAAAAAGCATTCTGAAAAATGCGCCTGTTTGCTTAGTCCTATTTCCAAGTTGTGGCTCAGTTAGCCCATTCATTCCTAGCAATTGACAGACACTAGCTGGCCTCAGCTGCCCACATAAAGTAAGCAGGCAGTGACTGCTGGGCCTAAAGGAGTTATAGACAGTTTCGCCACTGTGAAAGACATGTTCCTTTAACAGGAGAATTTACGTGTCCTATATCAAGCATTTTCATTTCTGTCACTCACACTTGACGTTGAAGAATAAGTGGAGTCAGTAAAGATGAGAAAGCTAGGCATACGGATTCTGCAGGGCAGTATTGTCCTTCATCGTTGTGACTTTAGGTCTCGTGTGTTCTCGGTTTTTAGACGCCTGTACCTGGGTTTGCCTCATGATGTTGGCATTGGTGAGCCCACTATCCGTTTGTAGGTATTTGATTGATGGTCTGTCCTGTCTCTTGCTCCTACTTGAAAGCAGAACAGTTTGCCTTTATATTAGGGTTTATGAGGCCAAAAGGGCAGACTAAATCATGGAACAGAACTTGTATCTTTGTTAAGACCAAGTAACTGTCATTTAAAGTTCTAACCATTGACCTTAGCTCTAAGCTCAGTCTGTTCACACTGTCCCCCCAGTATAGTCAGGACATGCTGTGTACTTTATTAAGCTGCTCATGCCCATTCCCTTCATCTTTTCTGGGCTTCCCCTTATGACACCCCTTTGTCTTCAGTCTCTAGTCTTTTGCTCCATAAGACTGGTCAGCATCTTCCCATTTAAATTAAAAAAAAAAAAAAAAAAATCTTCCCATTTGTCTCCTCGGCTGTAGGGTGGTATGCCAGCTCCTCGTTGTTTGTAACTGCCTCAGCTCTTTCCTACTAGTTGCTAGTTAATATAGGGACATGAAGCTGTTGTGTGTTCATCTGTTGGCTGATCAGGAAACTAATATATACTCTTCAACACAACTGCTTTTTCTTTGTTTTTGTCTCTCTTCTGGTGACATAATTTTTTTAGTAGTGCGTATTTGGAATTCATGACTGGGGAGATGCTCAGTAGAAGAAGCGCTTGCCTGGCAAGCACAAGGGCCTGAGTTCAATCCCCAGTTCCAGAAAAAAAAAAGGAATTCATGTGGCACATAGTCATCTGTGGGGGTGATTACAAGTTGCATACCACAACTTCTCTTCTCTTTCCTTCCCCTCCCCCACCAGGTCCCTTACCCTGTTTTTCATTCTTGTTGATAATGTTCATCTTAGCTAATGTCACAGTATATATTTATATTAATTGAGGTTGTTAGGTTCCTGTACATGACATATCTTTTTTTCTTTCTTTCTTTTTTTTTTTTTTCCGGAACCGTGGCTTGAACTCAGATTCTTGCGCTTGCCAGGGAAGTGCTTATTCTACTGAACCATCTCCCTGACTCCTGACATATCTTTATTCTACTTCTTTCTGTCCTTTTCCTCTTCCTTGTGCTTCTTCCCTGGGACCACTTCCCTATTGCAAGAGACCCATCTCCTCATCCCCCTTCATGCATTCTTTTTTACTCTTTTTGTACTTTGCCTCTCTCAGATGAGAGATACCATATGGTATTTAAACTTGTGTATCTGGTTTATTTCACCCAACATTATATTTTCTAGGTGCATCCATTTTCCTAAAAATGTCGCAAATCTGTCGTTCTTTATAGCATAATAATATTCCATCATACATAGATAGCACATTTTCTTTATCCAGTCATTGCTGATAAATATACACGCTGTTTCCAGGCTTTGCTATTGTGAGTTGTGCTGCTGTAAACATTGGTGCATGTATTTCTGTAGGAGAAAGGTTTAAGCTGTTTGGAGAAGATCCTAATAAGGGACTCATTGGGCCATGTGGAATCTCTACTTCCAGTTCTTTTTTTTTTTTTTTTTTTTTTTTTGTGGTACTGGGGATTGAACTCATGACTTACTCTACTGAGCTATCTCCCTGGCCCTAGTTCCAGTTCTTTGAGGAATCTCATTGATTTTCTCAGAGGTTGTATTGGTTTACATTCCTATTAGCAGTGAAGGAGGGTTTCTCTTTTACCACAGCCTCACCAGCATTTGCTATTGTTTGATTTCTTATAATTGCCATTCATTCTGGAATGAATGGAGCATTGTTTTAATTTGTGGTTCTCTACTGGCCAGAGATGTTGAGTATTTTTTCATATATTTGTTGACCATTTGTATTTCTTCCTCTCTGAAGTCTCAGTTCATTTCTCTTGCTCATTTTTTGACTGGATATTTAATTTTAGGTGATTTAATTTTTTTAATTTTTTGTTTATTCTAGGCATTAGTCTTCTGTCTGAGGAGCAGCTGACAAAAATTTTTCCCATTCTGTAGGCTGTCTCTTCACTCTACTGATTGATTCTTTTGCTATACAGATGCTTTGTAGTCTGATAAACCCATTAGTTGATTTGTGTTATTATTTATTATTATTTGTTGTTATGTGCATAAGGTTTTTGACCCTCTGTTCATGTGATGAAGCTGTTAAGCATTGAAGCCTTCATTACATTGATTATGAAACAAGAGCAAACGCTGCTCAACACACCAGCTGCTGTTTTGTTGTTGTTTTGGTTTGGTTTGGTTTTTTCTCCTTTTCATTTTTAGTTTTTTGAGAAAGGATCTCACTGCATTGTCCAGGCTGGTCTTAAACTCACAATGGAGCCCAAACTGGCCTCAAACTAATGATGATCCTCCTGCCTCAGTCTTCTGAGTACTGGGATTATGAGCATGCGTCCCATGCCCAGATACAGTGGTTATGTTTACATAGCACAGCTATTTTTTAATGTCGGTTCTGTTGTGTAATTTCTTCTCACAGATCATCAATTTCTACATGAATATGCTAATGGAGCGAAGTAAAGAAAAAGGATTGCCAAGTGTGCATGCATTTAATACCTTTTTCTTCACTAAGTTAAAAACAGCTGGTTACCAGGCAGTAAAGCGCTGGACAAAGAAAGTGGATGTGTTTTCTGTTGACCTTCTTCTGGTGCCCATCCACTTGGGTGTGCACTGGTGTCTGGCTGTAAGTACTTCCTTTTTTAATAAAAATGTAAAGAGATGTGCATAATTGTGGAACTCACAGGGTTCTGAGTAGCAGTTCTACATCTTGTGTACTTGATCTTAGCCAAAGGGCCAACAAGTGGTTAGTTGTACATCATCTACATCTTTCCTTGATTATTGAAAGAAAAAATAGTGTTTAGTAGTAGGCTGGCTAAAAATCAAATCATTGGGGCCGGGGAGATGGCTCAATAGAGTAAGGGCCTGAGTTCAATGCCCAGTTCCACCAAAAAAATTAAAAATAACCAAATCATTGAACTTTCTGTCTAGAGTGAGAAATACTTAGACATTGAGGAAAGCTGTGGGATTCCTTTGCTGGAAATATTTGAAAGGGAGCTACAGAGCATTTAAGCAGCCTCAAGGCAAGGCATGAGGAGAGCAAGTAACTTCCGAGTGAAGCTGCCAGCTCAGATTCTGTGACTCTTTTGCCTCATCAGCACTTGCCTTGCATGTGTAATGCAATGTTTCCTGTGACTGACCACACAGATGCATTAGCGTAATGGGTTTATAAAAGTTGAAACACTGTCTGTTTTAAACTGCATTTAGAAAGCATAAATCCAGAGAGAAGTTGTAAAGGTAAAGAAACAAAACCCAGAATCTTTTTCACTGTTTTTCCAAAATTTTGTGGGAATTATCTTGAGGTACGTTGTTTCTGTACCTTGGGGAAGAAGAAGCCGACCCATGGGGAAGGGTTCAGGGTAGTAGTGGGTCAGTCAGCCAGTTAACCAGCCCCCAACCTGGTTCCATGTGAACAAGCCCGTTCTTTCTTCTGTAGATTAAGCATGATAGAATACAAGGTATCAGTCAGACTTCCCATGATTTCACAGGAGGCCAGCAGGATTCCAGGGCCAAAGGGAAGAAAAGCTGAGAAACTACTCTTCTTCACTTCATAAACACAGATTTTTTTTTTTTTTTTTTGGTCCTCAGGTTGTAGACTTCAGGAAGAAGAATATTACCTATTACGATTCCATGGGCGGGTTAAACAACGAAGCCTGCAGGGTCCTCTTGTAAGTAAAGGCCCTGAGAACAGAAGTTTGGGGTTGGGGATCCTGTGTTTTCCAGCAGTTAAGCTCAGTTGCTTAGTACCTTTAGGAGAGTGATTCATAAATATCTTAGTACTAATAGCAGATACTTTAAGTTTAATACACTGTTGGTGGGAATGTAGACTGCTACAAACACTGTGGAAATCAGCGTGGAGATTCCTCAGAAACCTAAGATTAGAGGTCCCATTCAACCTAGTTATTCCCCTTTGTGGGTATTTTTCCCCAAAGAATCAAAAACATCATACCACAGCAATATATATACATCCATGTTTATAGCAGCACAACTTGTAATAGGTGGATCTTGGAACTCATATGCTCATCAGCTGAGAAATAGATAAAAAAGATGTGGTATTTTTATACAGTAGAGTATTACTCAGCCTCAAAGAAGGATAAACAACAGACTTGTATGGGTAAATGGTATATAACTCGAAACCATACTCATAAGTGAAATAAATTAGATTTGTGTGTAAACATCCTATTGTCTCAGTAGTGAGAAACTGAAAGAATAAGATCCAGAATGTACAGTGGATATTTTGAAATGGGAAGAAACTTCAGAAGGAAAAAGAAACTGGGATAGGGGAAAGAAAAGAAGGAAAGAAAAAGCAAAAACATTCATAGGCAGACAGACAAGATGGTTAACATAGCTATATTACTAATTTCTCTTAATTCATTAAGGAGAAAGGTTTGTGCTAATATTGTGTGGACAATTAAATGCCTGTATCTTGGACCCTGAGTAACTAATTTAGAGGTAATGATACACAATGTATTAATCATTATTACTCTCCTATTGGGTTTTTTTTTTTTTTTTTTTTTTTTTTTTTTTTGG